CCGATCCGGCTCGAAGGACCAAAATGTTCGATGCCGAGTCTGGTTTGGGAAATATTTCTGAGCGATGGGCAAAAAAACGATGGATTTCTACGGGAGCGCGAGAAGGTCCAGAAAACACAACACGTGCACGTTGGTCACAATAGTCAATTTAATTATGAAAAAGTCAATTATTTACACGTGCTAGCTTTAACTATACTTAACGAGATGGTCAAACAAATGCGCGGGTCACAAAATTATTAAATAAACGCAGTTCACGGAATTTAGATAGCGCAGAGCAATTAGTTCTAAGAAATTGAGCAAAGTAGCGATTTCGCGGAAAAATGATATACACTGTACGATGGCCGATATGCAGATGAGGCCGATTGAAAGACCGCAAGGTGGCAGGTGTCGATCATCGTGGGTCCAAACGTGCTCCAATTTAAATGGGGGCGTTCGCTGGACACCTGTCCATCAAGAGGCGCCTCAGGTGTCAGAGGTGAGAGGCCACTGGTCAGTTCAGTCGGTTGCGCAGGTCAGTCCTGAGAAGCCATGCAAGCATGCGAGAGGAGCGAGTGTGCGTGAGTGTGCGTGTGTGCGGAAAACAATTCGGTGGAAACCCGAACAGAATGATATTCAGAAACCTATGATAATTTTTTAAATTAAATGTCCTTTTCTCTCATTTACATAGGTATTCGTATTATTTCTCATATGATAAATGTATTACTCAATTCAGTAGTATTACGTCATGATTTCATAGACTTACCTTCGATAAATCCGGAAATATGAGTATTGAATTCACCTGTTTTAGCCTATCCGTTAAGATAATAGCTGGGAATGGTGAGTGCTTTTACGTAATCCAGAAATAAAAAGAAAGATAGATTTTTGCTTAACATGGATTTTTAGCTTTAATCCAATAAATTTTTCCTCTGATTTTACAAGTTCTGATAACAATGGTATTCAATAATTCAAATTGATTGAATCATTCCATTCCAATTTTCATTTTCATTCATTATTGAAAACCTTTGAATTCTTTTTGAATCAAAATTTGATTAAATAAAAGAACAACAAAACACAAAAAAAAATATTAATAATTCATTATGTGTCCTCTCATCTGTTCTCTGAGTTTAACATCAGAATGATGAACAAATTTAATCATTGAGGACTTGACTCTAAACTTGAATGAGATTTTACCAAATAAATTGAATTGATTGATCAATAATCAATAATTATTGGAAATTTTTACTTCTGAAGTTAAAGAATCCAAGGTATTAATGAGGGTGAGAATTTCCTTTCACACGGAGTAATAATTATAAAAGGTTTCACTTCCTGAATTGAATGACTCATTCAAGCACAATGACTCTAATTAATAAAGATAATTGAAGTACAATCAGGAATCTCCCTGAATATGATAATGATAGTTACGACGGAAGGTCTGTTCATTTGACAACAGTATTTGGGGTTAAATATATATAATATAATCATTATCAGACATTGAACATAATTGAATTCAATCCGAAGAAATCGATACTAATATCTCTAAAGACAGTGGAAAATAAAGAATTCTTTGATTCGGAAATCCACAAGAAAAAAACAATAAAATAATAATGGTCAATTTAAATTAACTCATGGTAGCTGTAATTAAATTTTAGGATATACATATATATATAATTCGATGAACTGGAAGATGGTCCTCAGATAATGCTTCAGGTAATGCCTCAAGTTTATCCTTAGCCTCTAGTTAATTGCCTCTGATCAATAGCCTCTGGTCACTTGTCTTCACTGAGGATCTTCGGATGATGCTCCTTATAAGGCGATGATGACTTGAAGAGGGTAAGATTTTATTAAATGAAGAAACCGGAAGGAATGGAATTTGTTCCACGGAAGTGTTCCAAAGAAATTAATATTTGAATACTTGAAGGTAATCGAACCTTTTTCACGAGAAGTTTTTTTTTTATGACATCGGAATGCCAAAGTTCTTTATAAAGTGAAATCAAAATAATAACAAGTGGCGTCTTTTCAAGTGGCGTCTTTTTAAATAGCGTCTTTTTAAGTGGCGTCTCAATTATTAAATGAATCACTGGTATGTTGCCATGTTTCGCTATTCGAATTAATTCGAATGTGTTTGAACGGTTAACTCCTTCAAACCAACAACTTCCCGATAAAATAAATCAATTTCCATATTTTCAAAAAATTATTCTAAAGTAATTAATATTAAAGGGGTCGAAAACTTCATGAAAAAAAACGATTTTTTTTTGGAATTTCATAATTTTTATTCATAAAAAAAAGCTCAAAAAAATATGTACAAAAAAAAAGTCGAAAAGAATATCACAGTACAATTTGAATATCACAAAAAAATCATGAAAAAAATTATTTAATAATGATGGTTATCGCGGTGGAATCGTCCGCGATATCCCCCCCCCAATATCCACCGCGATATTCCCCGCGATATGCGCCACCGCCACGTCCGCCACCTCCACGTCCACCGCTCCCACCACGACGGCCACCCCACGTCCTGCGGCTTCTGCCTCCATTGTTTCCCCGCTCTGTAATCACAAAATGATATTAATTATACATCGACGATTGCGATAAATATTTAGTTTTATATATTTATTTCAATATTATATATTTAAAAATTTCAACTTACGTCTCTCCCCGTGTTGGTGGTTTTGGAGGAATGACCCCAAAAGTCCAAGGAAATCCCTTGGAGTTTGTGGCCTGCAGACCCCCAGCATAAACAACAGCTCGCGTTGCAGCTGCTGCTGTTGCAGAAATCGGACCAAAGTTCCCATCAGTGGTCCGATTTCTGCATTGGCCTGCCTCTCCGCCCCCTCTCCGTTTTTCCCCTGGGGATGGGGAGCATCCGGGGTTGCCGGAAGGTCCAACCCCGGAATAATCCCCAAGAACCTCTCCATGAGCCCCATGAGTTCTAGAAATGAAATCAATCGATTAATGCTAAATATTATTTATTAGATAATCAAGTGTAAATTTCTTACCATTTAATTCATTCGCCATTTTCCAAATGTCAGAAAATTTATCTAAGGAAGAAGAAAACAATTAGTGAAAAATTAGGAGACGTGTTAGAATGTTATTTTGCACACAATTGATTGGAAAATCTAACCAATTCCAATGAATTCTGAGATATAAGAATTATGAATTTTAATTTCCATTTGAATAAAAAAAATCAAAAAAAAAATCAATCAAATTGATTTTTTTATTTAATTAATAAATTACTAACTGAATTTAATTTAATTGTGATACAAATTATATTAGTATACTCACCGCGTGCACGTGTCAATTTCTAATACTGTATGGAATAGAATGTATACATGTATACAGAGTATTTCTCACCGTACAATATATCACCTAGATATTCTTATGACGGGTAGATTGATTACCTCGTGAATGACTCATCAATCAAAGTAAGTTTTGTTTCCTAAATCGCTCGTAGGTGACTATTGTCTGATCTTCCACTTTGAACTCTATATTATCGATCTTAATAGATATTCCACGAGTTTCTGAAATTACGAAGCAATTGAGGAGGTCATTAGTTACTATGTTATTAATTATTCAAAACTATATAAAAACATCATGAATATTCGATTAAAATGAAAATCGATCTCTACGAATTTTTCAAAAGTCATTATAAAGTTAAATATCAACAATAACTAACAATTCACTAATTCAAGTATTATTGATAAAAACTTGACACCTATATTAATTCATTATTAATTTACTTACAGTGAGACCACTTCAACAATTCTCAGATTTTTTGANTAAAATGAAAATCGATCTCTACGAATTTTTCAAAAGTCATTATAAAGTTAAATATCAACAATAACTAACAATTCACTAATTCAAGTATTATTGATAAAAACTTAACACCTATATTAATTCATTATTAAATTACTTACAGTGAGACCACTTCAACAATTCTCAGATTTTTTGAGACAAAATGAGAATCAATATGAAAAATAATTTGCGTTTAACAACTCTGAGATTTACAGAAAAATTGAAAATGTAAATTTTTAATTGACAATAACTTCGATTTTATTTGCCATTGATGATTCACTTATTGAAGATAACTTAATTCTAATAATTCTCAAAACGAATAAGAACGCAAGTTGCTCAGTCTGCAGTTCAATAACATTGTTGATATATGACTGCGTATCATTTGTACACTTCGATGTTGTTGCTTACTTGGGTCTTCATTAAAACATATTAATGTTGCAAAATAAATTGCGAATACTCCACAGTCTACTCCATTGGTTTGTTGTTGTACTTTATGAAATATAATGTTTCTTGGGAATCTATATACTGCCGCTAAATAATCCATTTGATCTTTACTCAAGTATCCCTTATTGAGGCTGTCATAAATATGAACGTTACCTATACCATCATATCTTATGCAAACCCCTATGATGCAATGCCCTATGATGCCTTCGCCAATTTCCCCATCGTAAATGATTTGAATATTACTGTTGTTTTCTGGAATCTCCTGCAGATTTCCCAAAAATGCTCTCACAAACCCGACATCTTGCGCGAAGTTGGTAATTCCATTCTCAAACAATTGTTTATTTATTATTTCATGAAATAAATTAACCTGGTCGTCTTGCACGTACGTCCCTGTCGTTCTCAATACTTTACATCGCTCGACCGATATCGCATAATTATAATTGTCTGCTCGATTATCGTGTGCTAATGAAATATGTTCATCTTGGTTGATTATCTCAGAACGATCAATGCATTCAAACTGACAACTTGTCGATTTCTTGACATCATCTATATTCGAATTTTTACAATTTTTGTTCGAAACCAATTTTTTACCAAGAATAGCATAAATCGGTTTATGATAACTGAAGTATGTTTCATATACACCACATTCAACGTCGTCAAAATTTATAAAAATTACATCTATTTGGGTATTGAAATTGGTTGTTACCAGTGAAGATGCTAATTTTGTCTGTAGCTCATAGCGTTTCATATAATAGTAGTCATATAATGCCGATTCTGGCACAACGTTTTTGGCGTCGACCTGGTCGTTGGGGCCCAGTAGGGGGGTCAGATGAAAGTGGGTGGGTGGGTGGTTGATTAATTCGCGGGTTCGCGGTTTAATTCGCGGGGTCGCGGTTTGATTAATTAATTCGCGGTTTTTCCCTCGAAGTGACGAAAAGGTTAATTAATTCGCGGTTTGATTAATTAATTCGCGATTTTTCCCTCGAAGTGGCGAAAGGGTTAATCAATTCGCGGTTTATTCACGGTTTGATTAATTAATTCGCGATTTTTCACTCAAAGTGATGGAAGGGTTAATTAATTCGCGGTTTGATTCACGGGGTCGCGGTTTAATTCGCGGTTTGATTAATTAATTACCGATTTTTTCCCTCAAAGTGATGAAGGGGTTATTTAATTCGCTGGTTAATCAATTTAATTCGCGGTTTTGCGTTACAAAGGACCTTCTCGGTGGAACTAGTCAATCCACCCCGTGAGGGGGTGAGTGAAGGGGTTAATTATTTCGCAGCTGTAGAAATCATAGAAGGAGCTCCTCTTCTTCTTCAAACATTGACACCTGGCTCCACTTGACATGTCTGAACTTGAGTTTTCCGGTACTTTCTCGTTGGCCGCTCCCCTTCGTATGAAATTGTTGTTGATAACGATATCAATATGTAAATATTTATTTTAAAAAACATTTTCCTGTCACATGTCTGAACTTGAGTTTTCCCGTACTTTCCTGTTTGCCGCGCCCATTCGTGGGAAATCATTCTTAATAATGATATCAATATATAAATATTTATTTTAAAAATAAGGGGAGGGAGTATGTATATCTGCAAAGGCAGAGGATCAGTTATTCAAAAACTTAGGTACCCCCACCAATTTGGCATAGTCCTCGACAAATTTTACACGTTGTAGTAGGAGGAGTTTCCGAAAAATCTCCATCTGCTGCAAACTGATAAGAATGTAAATGCATTGGAAGATGTNAGAAGAAGTCCGAACGCAATCTTTTGTCTACGTAGAATTTTTCGGTTTACCTGGGAACGCACGTTGTGCTCACAACCCTAAGAACATGATGTTTGACAAACTGGAGCAGAGTTTTCGGACCCTTTGATGTCCTATCGCGCCGCAAAGATTAAATGTTATCCTGGACATTTTTCAGCTATTTTTTTTCCCACGAACAAAAAATGTTGCTATTTTGTTAATAATTTTCCATGAGTCACATGATTCTTTTTCAACCAATCACGTAAGATTTCACAGAAGCATGGAAATGCATTGGAAGATGCCCGAACGCAATCGGTTGTTTACATAGACTTTTTCGGTTTACCTGGGAACGCACGTTGTACTCATAACCCTAAGAACATGGTGTTTGACAAACTGGAGCAGAGTTTTCGGACCCTTTGATGCCTTATCGCACCGCAAAGATTAAATGTTATCCAGGACATTTTTCAGCTATTTTTTTTTCCCACGAACAAAAAATGTTGCTATTTTGTTAATAATTTTCCATGAGTCACATGATTCTTTTTCAACCAATCACGTAAGATTTTACAGAGTGTACAAGCGTAGGCACACCCACATATGTATCTATATAAACAAATTTCACCTTGATTTTCCGCTAGTTCTTTAGTGTCTTTATCATAAACAACATGGATCCTAACGCGTGTAAAGGATTATTGAGATCATTGGAGGATGTGTATGAAATAGTGAAAACGAATAAGAGACCCAGCGAAATTCAACAATGGCTTAATCACATCAGAGGACATTCGAAAGAAATTAATGTATTATTGAAGAGGAGTGCGAGTCATAGTCAGAAAAGACGTTTAACTCGTATGTTAGGACGACTGAAAGCGTTCTACGCAAGATTCAGAAACTTGGAAGTGATAGGAGGAGACTTAAGGGGTAATTTAACTGATAGAGTCCGATGGGAGGACTTACAAAGTGTTTTTGAGGGTCGTATGAGAACAGGAGTGATTATTAACGTGAAAAATCCAGACATACCCAAATTTTTAGATGATGCTAGACGAATGCTCTGTGTACGTTTGAAAAATGCATTGAAACAAGAAGGAAGTTTGAAAGTGAATGTAGTGTTAACGTGTAAATATGAAATTAATAGAGATGAACATCTCATTGAAGAAGAAAAATATTTCAGTACCAAGAATGAAATAATTCTTGATTCAACTGATATTAGGCAGTGGTTTGATGAACACATAAGAGAAAAACTTCTTGTGAAAGCGGATAAGTTCCAGGAAAGAGACTCAGGCTGGAGATTAGTTGACGTCATTAATTTAGAAGTGAACATGAATAAATATCATCCATTGCGCGGAGGATCTAGCTTCGTTGAACTACCTGAATGGATTAAAAAGAAACATGCTGTCGTGAACGTTCAAAATAAAGACGATGCCTACTGCTTTTTATGGTCCATTATGGCCGCTCACTGTAACGTTCGAGATAAGCAACGAACAAACTCATATCCCTCTTTCAGCACTGTTATGAAAAGATTTGGTAACTTCAATTACCCCATGGTATTAAAAGACATTCCCAAGTTCGAGAAAATGAATGAATTGTCGATTAGTGTATATGGAATCGACAGTGATGAAGAATCAGAGAAAAAATGGATTGTGCCCCTTTATTTGAGCAAAAATCTTCCAGCCACACTGCAAGAGGAAGAAAGGACAATTCACCTTCTCATGATTGAAAAAGAAAACATCCTCGATGGTGAACAGGGAAGAATTCATCACTACACATGGATCTCGAATTTGTCTCGTTTAGTTGGTGTGCAAATTTCAAAAGCCCAACACAAAACACTCATNAGTCTCGTTTAGTTGGTGTGTAAATTTCAAAAGCCCAACACAAAACACTCATATGTGACAGGTGTTTGTGTCACTTTTTCAAAAAAGAGGCCTACACTAATCATGGGATCGATTGTATATCGATCAATAAGTTTCGAATGATTTTTCCTCATCGTGGTGAAAAATATTTAAAATTTCAAAATTTCAAAAATCAACTGACTGTTCCATGTGTTATATACGCTGATACTGAGTGTTTATTGGAAAAAGTGTCCGATGACAATGATGTAAATACCAAAATATACCAAAATCATGTACCATTCAGTGTTGCATTTTATGTGAAATGTAGCTATGATAACTCAAAATCGAAACTCTCTATTTATCGTGGAAAAGACTGTGTAGAGTGGTTTATTGAGCAGCTACGTATTTTAGCTATAAAAGTTGATGCTGAATTACAGAGAAATGAGCCCATGAACTTGACTTTCGAGATGGAGCGAGCCTATAATGCAGCTAAAACATGTCATATTTGTGGCAGGGCATTCACCGAAAAAGCAGTGAAACATCGGGACCATTGCCACTTCACGGGAAAATATCGCGGAGCAGCTCATCCCGGTTGTAACCTGAATTACACAGAATCGTGTGTAATCCCTGTGGTTTTCCACAATTTGTCAGGTTATGACTCGCAATTTTTCATTAAGTCCCATGCGAGACAATTCGAGGGCTCTGTGACATTACTCCCAATT